ATTAATCATCAACTGGGTGTGGTGGAACATGCCTTTAATCTCAGCACTCAGGAGGCAGAGGCAGGAGGATAGCTGTGATTTTAGATCCAACTGCTCTGCATGCTTAGTACCAGGAATGCCAGGGCTATGTAGAGAAACCCTGTATCAAAAAACAACAAAAGATTAAATACCATACAAAATTTTCACTAAAATTCTAGAACATGTTTTTATTCACATATAATCTGTGTTATTCCTAACAACTAGAAAGAGTGTATAGAGAAAGCCCAACTGACAGAGACTGGGTGATGCCATGTTTAATCATATCCATATTAAATACCCCAGCCTGATAGTTTCTAGACTTTCCTATCTATCATGTAGTTGACTTTTTTTTTTAGGCTTTTGTCTGTGTGACCTATATTATTATAGCTCTGTAAATCTCTATCTGGCCATAACCATGAGGATAAAAGAACAGAGACCAATTTTATTTGAACTGTGAGCTCTGCTGAGTATTGCACTTTTACACTTGAGTTGTGGAATTCGGACATTTAATCTGCATGGCCCATTTAGCACAAGGGTCAAAAGGGGTCTGCTCACATGCAGGGCACCCTGCCTTGTACAGAGAGATCATCCTTTGGTAGAGGGCTTAGAAATCACATGAAATAGCAACGATAATGTCTCTCCATTGACAGGCAAGATTGTTTAAATACCAGCTGCAGAGGGCTGCCTGTCAGCAACAGGTACTAATCATGGGCCTTAGAAGAAAATGGACAGTTCTGACGGTGATATTGTGGAAAACTGGGCATCTGAATGAGGAACCTACTGCCTACCTTGTTTTAGATAAACATTAATATTGAAATTTCGTGTTAGTTTATATTCTATTTATTGTAATAAAATGATTAGATATTACAGTTGTTGTTACATCCCCAGACAGATGCAATAGCTAGTTTATAACAAAAACCCCTAAATGTTTGCAGAGCTATGCATTTAGAACATTGTATAGATTATCCTAATTTAAAAAGTAGCATTTGTCAGAATGCACCTCAGATTATTAAAATCTACAGCACATATAATTAGCTTTCTGCTTAGGCAAACTTTGTGAGGCCCTAGTGACTGGCATTTTGTGATAGAATAATATTTGTATTATTCTATGTATTGTAATATATATACATACATATATATATACATACATATATATGTATATATATTTGATTAGAAATTCTTAATTTTAAGAGCCTGTATTTCAAGTCACAATGTTGACCACATCTTCAGTGAAAATTCAATGACAATTTTAACAACAGGAAAATACAATTAAGTCTTGACGGTTGATGAGGAATGGAAGGGGGAGGGGTGACAATCTAGTATAAAAAAACCCTGTTAGTTGATATTACATAAAGCCTATGACATTTAGTAATTACGGGCTGCTTGTATAGGCAATGTTCCTTGAGTATATTAGTAGATAAATGTTTGGAACAGTTTAACAAGGATTTTAATGGTCTCCTAGATGTTAAAAATAGCCAAAATCATTCTGTTTCAAGATAAATGCTCATGGCAACTCCCATGTTATTGGCTGAGATAGTTTAGTGCTTACCTTAGAATCAAGTTTATGGCCTACTCTGCCACCCATGCCAGGTGCTACTGTATATAGAGGCTTGTTAGCTCAGTAAAAATGTACTTACCTTGATGCGATCCAATTACCTGTCAGGATAGAGCATCCTTTTATACAGTGAAATCCCAGAACCCAAAAGAGCTTGAAGAGGTTAAAGAAAGCAAATTTTCTCAGTGGTTCTCCCTTGGGAATACCCTCAAGGAGTCACACACCCCACCTAATTGGAGGCTGGGGCTTAGTGCTTGGGAAGTTCCTGTGGTTGGCTTTAAATATAAAAAGTCTATTGTTTAGAGTCTCCCAACAACACCTATTCTTTCCCCTCTAGAAACATTATTCAGCTCTTGGATTAATACAGTGTCCTTGTGAGTGAAGGCTTGGTATGAGCAGGAGGGTCAGCTTCTATGATCCACATTGATCAGACACTTCCTGAAGAGCTTTTACATTGAGCAGAATTACATTTAACCTGGAAACACACTTGTTTTATACTTCAAACCACATACCAAGAAGATTTTGCAAGGTTTCTGTACTCCTAAGAGTAACCAGGTTTTTACATACATTAAGGCTAATACCTTTGGTAATTCCTGAGCTCCTATAATGACCCTGTGAGATGTTAATTTGTTCCATTCTGCTTGTTCCAGTTAGGGGAGTTCTTTTTCTTGCTTGCAAACAGTGACCCCTACCCATAAAAATAAAACCACTGAAGTCAACAAATCAAGCAAAGTTTGGTGAAAGCACCAATGTGACAGTTGCTAAACTCTAGTCTGGTTGGCGTCAGCTAACTAAGGGCATCACTATAAGATGATAAAGCTGAGAGGTGAAAGAAGGTCATCAAAGCATAACACTAGAAGCCACTGGAACTTTCCAGAGCATCATAGAAACAGTGAGAAAGTCCACCCTGCTTGGTTTGCTATATAGCACACAGGCAGGCAACTGATGCAAAATGCTACTTCAAAGACCCCTTTAATCAATTTATCAATGAGTATTTATTGCAAGGCACTGTGCTAGGCACTATGGAGAGTACATGGAAGAGAAGACCAATGTCCCTGCCCTCAAGGAGCTTACAATCTAGTTGGGAAGACAAGGCATACATTCAAGGAAAAGTCAGTAACAATACAAGAGTTAGGTTCAAATGCAAGATAACAGTACAAGATATTTCCAAAAGTAGTACCCTATCAAATACTAAATGAAGGATTGGAGCAAATTCAGAGGAAGACATCACAAGGTCAGGCATGTGGGAAAATCTCACAGATGAGCTGGAGTGTTGGAGGTACCCTAGGAACGTTGATATTTGGGTGCGAGAGTGAGGGGAACATTTCAAGAAGGAACAGCCATGAGACTGAAAGGCACAGAGGTGAGATCAAAAGCAAGCAGTGTCAGGGACCAAATAGGGCTCAGTGTGGTTGTATATAGGAGTAAGAGATTTAGATTACGAATGGCCTTATGAGCTTAAGTTTCTGTCGATTTTATGATTTTGCCAGTAGATAGGGAAAACAACAGGTACACTTAGATCAAATATACAAAATCTTGGCTAGCCAAGAAAAAAGTATTCTATTCTCGGCTTCAAGACATTGACTACTTGATTTTGATCCTCTCTGATTCTGAAGAGGATTTGAAATGGTGTCTTCAGGGTTGTGAATTTCAAGTCACCTTTGGAATTCGGTCATCTAATTTTGGGGCCAGAGCTTGAGACTTTTGTGCCCCCTATGATCCCAAGTTGTAACTAGCACAAGGGTAAGCTAAAAATTTCCCTGACAAGCAGGAAGGAATAATGCTCCCAGAAGGCAGATATTTTTACAAATGACAGAATATTTATTAACAATACCTTTAAAAAAGATTACATATGCTATATCACTGGTAGATATCATTTACACTGGGGTTGGGAACTACCTGGGGTATCAGGTTTTTTTCATTCATTTTATTATTTTGTTGATTTTTTTGCATGTGATTTTAAATCATATTTTAACATAGAAGTAAGCCATATCAAAGTAAGAAAGGAATACAGCTGAAATACTGACAATATTTTCCCTGTTACCATCCTAATTTTTACACAAATGGAATCCTGATGATGTCTTTATTGGATGAATATAATCAGCAGGTTGAAAAGCTATGTTATGTGTAAGCAAAAATGACAAATTACAGGCAATCATGAGCTCTCCAAGAAAGAAGAAAAAGGTGACTGTGTGTTTTCATGTGAAAAGCTTTATAGAAAATCTCATTGCCTTCTATGTTCCACCCTTGTCAGCTTACAAAACATCCCCCATCATAATAAATAGTTCTTTTCATAAGAATAAGGTTTTGTCGATATTGCCATCTTTCATTGTATGATTATAAGATTTAGAATGTAAAGCTTATAAAGCAATCAGACTAGTTACTGCAAAACAGGAGAGACATCAAGATACAATACATCTGTACTATGGATAGTTTATAGGAGTTATATGTAAAATTCTTTGCAGCAGCTATTTGCTAAAATAGGAAAAAATGTCAAATTACATGTTATTGTCATTCAAAAGAAGGGCTCTATCATTACAGTTACACATGTTATCTATAAGAAATTTTGAAATTATAAATGCATTGACAGAATTATTAAAAAATTTACATTCAAAACAGATATGTCTAAAGAGTAAAATTACCTTTTATGCCATGAAAGACTTGTTTGACTATAGTAACTTTTCATCTATGTTACTACAGAATATGTAACTTCAAATTCAATGACTAAGATAATGCTACTACAAAGACGATGCTCAAATAAAGTCTTACCAGACAATGCTAAGTTCAGGGCTGGGAGGATTGCACAAGGTACCTCTTGGGCTGGGAAGTTTAGCTTTTGGGATGTGTAGTTCCTGAAACCATCTCAAATTGTGTTGAACAACAAAATTTACAACAGGATGGGAAAACATATCACATATGTCAAGGGGACTCGATTCAATGCATTAACCATTCAAGGGATAATTTATATACAGCAGCCTTGAGTTACAGACCCAGTCTCTAGCTGTTTTGATACTGGATCCTGGTAAAACTGTACAAGTCATTTGTAATTCATTTACTGAGATGAGTTTCAAACTCTGTCCTTAAAGGAAATCATCTCAAATCATAATTGTGTGGTTGTGTTGCCCAGAGCATTTTACAGCAGAGGAAGAAAAAAAATCAATATCTACATTATATGTTAACTTTAAAAAATTCTATAAAACACTAAATATATAATAAAAAATATGCATATAAGGACATATGTAAACTGCTTTGGTAACATCATATTACAGATGTCTTCAGTGCATTGCAGAGTTTCCAAAGAAACTTCAGACAAAGCTAGATTTGCTTTGAGGAAGTACTGTATAATGCCATTCCTAACGAAGCAAAAAACATTTTTTTCCAGTAATAAGATGTACTTGAACAACAATATTACTTAGTACTGGGTGTCTTCAAAACAACTAGCTAAATGTTGCTTATATTATAAATAGCAAGTCCTTTAGATAACTTTTGTCATAAACTAGACCTGGCTGTGAGAGAAATCATTATTGTACTGATGGCTGACAGTGTACACGCGTTGGAGGTAGAAGCCCCAGATCCTCTTGCATAGGAATCTGAAATGAGAGAACAAATTCTTTCATCAGGGTCTCATCCTGTATACAAAGGAAAGTGATGTTCCAGGGCTTACCAAACCAGCATGGCTGGCTGAGTTATAAAAATAAATCCTGTCTGTTTGTCCATCATCTGGCTACCTATTTTATTTTTATTATGTGTATATGTGTGTGCAGAAACACATGTGTGCTCAGGTATGTGTGCACACACATAGACATAGCAATGGAAAGGAGAGGACACTCAGCTCCTTAGACGGATGTCTTCCACCTTGCATTGAGGTTGGGTCTTTTACTTGGCCTGGAATTCACCAAGGAATCCTCCCCTCTCTTCAGTGCTAAGACTACAAGGGTGTGTGGCTGTATCTAGCTTACTTTTTAAACATGGGCTAGGGCTCATATTCGAGTCCTCCAGCTAGCAAGGCAAGCGCTTTCCTGATTGAGCTTTCTTTCCAGGCCTACCTGCATGATTCTATCAATGATTCATTCACATCAGTTCCATGATGACAAATCCGTGGTCTGGGAGGAGATTAGGGATCATTCTGTAGACTCTTTTGAGTCCTATAATTTGAGGGTGTCCATATCCAGTGTGACAGATACTTCAATATTGCTAGGAATATTACTAGGAATATGACGGATAGAGGTTGATTTGAAAAGTGAAACTCCCTTTCAGTTCCAGTTCTGTGCTGCACAGACGATATGACACTCAGCTCTTACAGCCCCCCTCTGTGGACCAGATATTGTCACTTTTCTGTCCATCAGATTAGGAGACTAAGAGATGAAGTAACTAACTTGTCTAAGATTGCCTAGCTAAGTGAATGTCTGGATTGGGAATCAAAACCGTGTTTATCTAAGTAAATCTCTTTTGCCCAGACAAAATAATCACATTATAAACAAACTTCTTCATGCGGGCTGTACATTTTTCTTAATAAAAGCTTTCCCGTTTTTAGTCTTGGTTTCTTTAAGGCTGTCTGATCTCTCCAACTGAGAGATGGAAGTGAAGACATTATGCTCTGCTGACACTCATTATCTGGCCACTATAAATGTTTTTGAAATGAATGAGACCTAGAATCAATGAGAAAAAAAAAGAACTATCATTGCAATGATCAGAAATTTGTAGTAAAATTTAAACAAAGTAAAATATATAAATTCCAATTTTGTGGGGTTGTGGGCTGGACCTTACTCCTACAACTCACTGTGTGAGGTTCCCTTTCAGCAGAAAGAAGTCAGAGCCCTTGTTTGATGATCACCTTATATACATAGCCAGTTCAAACCCAGCCAAGGCTACTTAGTGATACCCTTCCCCTCCCCCCAAAACAACCAACCAACCAACCAACCAACCAACCAACCAACCAACCAACCAACCAAAAAGAGTACATTTCAGAGGCATTCAAGTCCATTATCCATATAAATATATATATATATATGAGATATAGTAACCATACAAACCATATAATATATAAACCATATATTATATATATTTATACACACATACATATATGTATGTATATCACGTATGTATATTAGTGTTTATGTAATTATAAACTCTGTCTCTGAGCATAGCTTTTGCCTCAGTTTCCCACTGAGTCCTGTACTATTATTCTTGAACACAGACAAGTATTTATTGAATCCTTTCTAAATGATAGGCAATTCAAAGGAAAATTAAAATGACTAAGGGGCTCTTTACTCTTCTGAACTGAAAGCCATTAAAATTGTTCCATGGCTACTTTGCTACCATTCCCTATCTGTAAGACATAACAACCTTTTACTCCTTTGAAACATAATGGATACCTAGCAGATACTGACTCCAGCTCCAAAATTAGGGTCTCTTTTGAGGCTATCACACATGGTTTAAAATAATATCTTTTCAGTGACAGCTTGAAAGTTTATAATTCCAAACCTCAAATACAAGGGCAGATAAATATGTACCTAGATACCTAACTGTAACCTGGATATCAGCTTAATCTTTTCTTTATCATTGTAAAACACTCCCTAAACGAAGGGACCATGTGAACTAAAGAAGACAATTCAGGAGGTATGGTTACTCTAATCCTGGCACTTAGGAAGCAGAGGCAGAAAGATTTCTGCAAGCTGGAAGACAGCTTCCTCTACATAACCAGGCCAGGGTCAACCATGGCTACTTTGTGAGACCCTACTTCCAAAACAAAGACAAAAGACCAAAAACAAAGCAAAACAAAAACCAAAAAGAGTGCAATCCATTGGCAGTAAGTACTTCCAGAAGCTTTGTAAGCAGCTCTGTCTGCTCTCTCTGGATGCTTTCCAAATCATGCCAAATAGTACACAAATAATCACCAAACTGCCGTGCTCCATTGCCAATCATTATTCTGATTTCTGACTTCATACATTTTCTTTCTATTAAGATAAATAAAATCATACAAAAATTTGTATGCTGTTTAGATATTTATAAACATAAAACTTTAAAACGGAATAGAATGCATTTGCTCCCAAAAGCTACTCTCACATACTATTTAAAAATATTTAAAAATGGAGACTATTAACTCTATGTAAGCATATGTATTTTATATGTAGATTTCATATTCTCAATCAAAATATGTCACATTAACTTCAAAATATTTCCAACTCAAGACTGAATGACACTAGCTTACTGGGGATAAAACACCACAGCCTTGGTAAGAACTTTTTGGCCAGAGTACTAGCACTGGGGAGGCAGTGGCAAGTGGATCGCTGTGAGTTCAAGGCCAGCCTGGTCTATGCAGCAAGTTCCAGACCAGTTATGTTACATAGTGAGACCTGTCTTAAACAACAATGACAACACTCAAACCTTTTTTGCCTATTCTTTCTAACTGCATTGTTCATTAACTATAGAGGCTATAATTAATTAGGGGACTATGTACTTGTCAGCCAAATGGGTCAATATGAGACAACCCTTTGTGCTTTATTAGAGGAAGCCTTCATTTACTATTTTGGTTGGCGACTGACTAAATCCATCAAAACTAGGCGAAGAGGGCTTTTTGGTTTTTGCTTTTTTTTTTTTTTTTGCATAAAGTATCTTGAAATCAGAAAACATCAGTTATAGAAGAAATGATGCTCCTGTAATTTATCTTAATTACAACTCTTACCAGGCTCAATTTCTCTGAAGCCTTGGCTCATCTGGTATACTGACACAATAGGCAAAGAGAAAGGGCAAGATGAAAAAAGTTCTTACTTGATATCTTTGGGATTCGGATTTGCTCACTGCTGCTGCCATCTCCTCCATCACTGAATGGCTTGATCTCTATGATGTAATCTTCATCAAAAGGTAAAGAAAGCTCCACTGATGTTTTGTTTGTTTCAATGACAGATGTGCTGCTTTGCCTGTTCCATCTGTACAAGACCTGCCCAAGCAGAAAGAGCGGATATCATCTGCTGTTCTAACTGATATGCAAAGATATGGTATACACTTTTTTTTTAAAAAAAATCTCTGTTTTTTATCTCAGTTAAATGTAAAATGATGGAAGTTCTCTGACAGCCTGCTCATACTGAGTGAGCTCATCTATGGCCAGGGTCAAGACTGCTGCCACCATGTTGCAGAGGGAAGAATTGAAAGGAAGAGTTGAAGTGGAGGAGAGAAACATGTGTGGCTGTTCTTTCACACGGATAAGTTAACATGTACTGAAATGTAGAAGACTAAATATCTCTTTAAGGATGTAGAGTCAATGACACACCAGGAGCCTTGACACCAGAACAGACTTGGCTCTGTGTGACCCTAGGTCATTTACTTCATCTCTCTTAACTTCAGTTCCCTCTATTGTAAAATGGAGATGAAACCACACACTTCAAAATTTTGCAGACTGAATACAGTAAGGGCTGGATTCAAAGAACAACTTAAGAAAGTTTATCTATGCAGGCTTAAATGGAACAAAATGAACACATACAGCAGGGGTTCCAAGGACAAGAAACACTCAGCAGGTTGTTATTATCAAGAAACTTCTTGAAAGAGGGCATTTCTGCACATATAGACATTTTATGAATGGCAAAGGCCGTGAGCTCTCCACTTTCCCTCCCACTGGGACTCTTTAGAAGGATCACATAGAAGAGGCCATCGGTGACCATCTGGAAGTGTGGTACTTCTGACAAGTTCCACTCATGCACCTTTGTTTTCCTTCCTGGGCCTCTTAGATGCTGAGTTTGGGCTGTGATGTATCTGATGATGTAGCCCTCAGTTTCCTGAAAACACACTGGCTTGGATCTCTGATGGTCCCTCACCTCAATATGGAACAAAATATAAAGGACCAAAAACACGCACCTGCCATTGTGTGCCCAGCAACAACCATAAGGACAACTCCCCTGTAAATTCTGACTCTTACAGGTAACTTATCAATGTCACTACAATCCCACAATGCAGATGTTATTGTACCTTTTTACAGGTGGGGACACTGAGGCCCAGGGACCTCTCATCATGGAGAAGTGGAAGGAAGTTGATTCCTAAGCCTACAGTCATAAATCAAAAGAGTCTACCTTCTTCAGCTTCCCAATGGATAAAAAAGATGGATAAATGACACAGATGATCATCTACCTTGCATGTTTTGGGACACTTACTGTTACCCTTATCCTATAGTTTTTAGCAGAATTAAGAGGGTGGGACACATTCTTGTCCTTCAGGGGGTGAGGGGCACTCATCACTGTCTGCAGACATGCTTGAATGTCACATAGCTACCAGTTTAGTGAGTAGAGACCAAAGTCATGGCAGAACCTCCTACAGTGTAAAGGTAGCCACACAGCAAAGCATGGGTCTCACTCTGAATGTAGGTAAGTAGGGGATGGTAAATCTCACTCCACTTCCACTCCTGGCAGGAGTGCAGGCTATGATATACTTTTATTTTATTTTATTTTATTTTATTTTATTTTATTTTATTTTATTTTATTTTATTTTTTAAAATTGATTCACATAATGTCAAAGGCAAAGTCAATCTTGCCTCAGAATCACCAGGCAAGAAACTTAGAACATTATTTGTTCAGCCCATCCCTGGGGTTGCTGATTGCCGAGGTTAGAGGTCAGATCTGAGACCTGAGCTTTTGCCTTTCTGCTAAGTTCTCACCCTACACCAATGTTACTCAAACATGTATCCCAGCTTGGGAAATACAGGGCTAGCTTGTGTTTTCCTAAGACCCCTATAAATACTGAGCTACTGAGGTCAGAAATATATGGTCAGTCTTCTATTGCAAGCAGAAACAAACATGAGGGAAATTCATAAAACTTCCTTAACATAGTTTAGATCCCATTTGCTCCCTGGCATTTTATCACCTTAATTTACAGCCCTCTAATACAAGGTGGAAAACACAATCTCCTTAAGGTGGAAAGATTCTCAAGCCCTCTCCTTCCCCAAGCTGAAGTATCAGCTGTGCCAGGCTCAACATCCCTTTGCTAATGATCAAGTGCCAATAAATCTTGGGGCACTGCTTCTCATCACAACCCTTCAGGAGAATGGGCTGGCTGATGGGATGCAAGGTCACATCTTGCTCAGAGGAATAAATTGCTTCTTTGATTTACTTCTGGCCCTTGCAAGAGCTCAGAGAATCTAACCAGTTTCAAGTATAAATCCAAAAGAAACATTTCCAAGAAAAAGCATACTTTTTTAAAAAAATCAACACTCTTATCAGTCTTGTAATAATGGAAACTGCCACCTATAAGGACAACAAAAGCTTTATTTACATTAAACACTTGGTACAGCTGATGGACATAAAGATAGTTCTTGTACCTGATATAAAACAGGTAGGGAGAAAGAGGATACCTGGGACTAATGATATCAACAGCAAACACTGACTGCTTTTGCTTCTCCAGTGTTGGAGCACTTCTACTCCCGGCTATATTTAGTTATTATTTTGACCTCAAAGATGGCAACCTGAGATCTGGAGATAGTAGACAATTGCCTGTAGTCAATCACCCAAGGTTTAAACCTAAATAACCTAACTCCAGAGCCTGGATTATTTATATCAACTTGGCCACCACCTCTGGGTCAAGTTGCTTTTCCTCTCTGGTCTCTGTCCTCATATGTGCAAAATAAGGGGATTAGGAAGAGACCTTAAAGGGGGGTAGGCAGTAGGAGAACAGATAGCTTAGAAAGTAAAGAAGTCTGTCACCCAGCCTGATGACATTGATTATATCTTCAGGATCCACTCTGTGAAGGGAGAGAATTAACTACTGAAAGTTGTCCTGTTACTCCCAGATGCATGCGGTATGCATGTGGATATAAGGGCATGTAAAAGGAATATAAAAAAGTAGCTAAATAAACACAGAGAATGAGTAGCCTGAGGATCATATGCTGCTTGCATATATCATTTGTTTGGCCACTTTAGTGTTTGATTTTTATTAAAATACCAGCTTTATAAAATAAAAATTATGCATAGAGGTTTATAGTTATTGTCAAAAGATACTGCCATCATGGGTACTATGGTTTGGGTAGTCATCTGCTGTAAAGTCCCTTTTAAATTTTAATTGCTACTATATTAATTTTAAAAGGAAGACCATGGTGGTTTATGCTTGCAATCCTTGTACATTCACAGCTTACACAAAACTTAAGATGTTTACATATTCAGGATGCTGAGGCATGAGGATTACTATGAATTTGAGGGCAGCCTGGCTACACAGTGAGTTCTAGATCAGCTCTGGCTACAGAGTTAGATCCTGTGTCAAAACCAAACCAAACCAAACTAAACCAAGCCAAACCAAACCAAACCAAATCAAACCAAACCAAACCAAACCAAACCAAACCAAACCAAACCAAACCAAACCAACCAAACAAACAAACAAGCAAAGAACTGTGAAATGTTTAAGAGGTAATTAGACTCAGCCTGGATATGAGACTTCTACCCTCAATATGGGACTGGTGCTGTCATAGGAATCCTGTCTTCTTTTGGTGTTTCAGTCTCTCACCTTCATCTATGTGATAAAAGGTCAAAAGGATTCTCCTTGTAAGCCAATAGCTTTGTGCAGGAATGCCTAGCCTATAGAAATATGCTTTTGTTTGTCATAAATTAACAAGCTTCAATTATTCTCTTATAGTAACTCACAGAGACAAAGACACCAGACTATTTCTCATTGGCAACAAGTAAGGCTAATTCCCCCTGCCTCCTCCCCCCACCTCTCTGGAGAGTCACAAAGTCCCTTACTATAGTCACCAATATTTCACATGCTGTTATACTAGCTCATATTCACCTCTGGACCTTCATGACTTCTACCTATATACTTTCCCAGAGATCTGCCTGTCTCATTTTTTTCTTTCATTTAAAGCCCAATTGAGATGTTACCCCTAAAGTGGCTTTCCATGGTCTTTATATAAAGAACATGTCTCTCCTGTGTACCCCTTGCCTCTCTATTGTCTCCTTACCTTCATGTTCTTTCCCTTGTAATGCTTTATTTTCACCCACTATGTCTGTCTGCTGATTGCCAGGCAAAGTAAACAGTGGTCAAGGGGCAGAGACAGATTTCACACTGCTGTGTTCAGATCCCAGACTTAAACATTCCAGAAATACTATCATAGCACATCTCCATGTCTTCAAAGTTAGGGTTAATAGTCAAAGTAGATTCTAGGAATTTCTTCCTTAGGGGGTTATTTGGAAGGTGAGATGATTAAGAACCTTGGATATGGGCCTGTGCCTTCCACCAGGGCAGATAATCAGTGTGTTGGTCCCTCTGAAGACCCCACAGTTTGAAGGCCTTCTAGGTGATTTACTGAACCCAGTGTCACAGGTTTCCCAAGAGACCTGTAGCAACCCAGGGACACAGGAGACAGGCTCTAGACAGAAACTACCCGGTGAGTTAACACCAGAGATAACTAGATGGTTAGATGCATGTGCAAGACCATAAGCAATAGAAGCCAATATTCTTTGTCACCATCAGAACCCAGTAATTCCACCACAGCAAGCCCTGAATACCCCAACACACCTGAAAACCAAGATGTTGACCTAAAATCCCATCTCATGAAGATAATAGAATCCTTTAAGGAGGATATAAACAACTCACTGAAAGAAATGCAGGAAAACACAGGTAAACATGTAGACACCCTTAAAGAGGAAACAAATAAATCCCTTAAAGAAATAAGGAAAATACAACCAAACAGTGAATGAATTGAATAAAGCAGTCCAAGACCTAAAAGTGGAAGCACAAACAATAAAGAAATCACAAATGGAGGCAACCTTGGAAATGGAGAACCTGGGAAAAAGGTCAGGAGCTACAGATGCAAGTATCAACAACAGAATACAAGAGATAGAAGAGAGAATCTCAGGTGTAGAAGATATTGCCACAACAAAGAAAATACAAATCATAAAACCTCCTAACCCAAAACATCCAGGAAATCCAGGACACAATGGAAAGACCAAACCTAAGAATAATAGG